ACACACACACACACACACACACACACACACACACACACACACACACACACACACACACACACACACACACACACACACACACACACACACACACACACACGCACGCACATTGCCCCTGCCAGGCGCTACTTCCGTCTTGTGCTGTCGCTGAATCGGAGCCTGAATGGCGGCCCGATCTTCCTCGAATACTACAACCGCCACACGTCAAAGAAACCAAAGGTACACAACCACACCCCCTCCCCCCCACACACGCACGGGCACACACACACGCACGCGCGCGCATGCACACACACACACACACACACACACACACACACACACACACACACACACACACACACACACACACACACACACACACACACACACACACACACACACACACACACACACACACACGCACGCACACGCACATGCACACCGACCGTTGCATTCTGGCATCGTGTGTGTCGCGTTCGTAGTCACATCAACCCGCCACCGTGCTTCATCATCTCTACCTCCGAGTTCAGCTGCGTGATGGCTCAATTGTCTTTTTGTGAACTGCGCCATCACTGATGCCCATACATGTACTCCGCTCTTTGCCCACTGCTGTCTCCACGCATCTGCTGGCAGGGTGTCATTGACCTCGACCCGATTGTCAGCGTGCACGCCCCAACAGAGGCGGATTTGCGGGTGGTCAAGGGATACCGCAGCGTTCTCCAGGTCTGTACACCTGTCGTGTCCAAAATAGAACCAATACTGTTGCTCTTGCACCTGCCACAGCACACTGCTATCGTCTGCCGTGCGTCTTGGAAGTCTACAATGTCACCTTCACCACCCATCCGTCGCAACCCTTTTCACAACCCACCATCATGCCCTACCCCACTCTCCACCCCGCTCCTCTTCACCACCATCACATTCATCCCCCCCCAAACCACCACCACCTCCCCACCACCATGATTCATGATAACCGCCGCCACCGCCAACTAGGCCGGGCTGTTTGAGCTTGACATGCCGCGTCGCACGTACCGCATCCTCGGCAGCAGCGCCTCTGAGGCCCAGGACTGGATGGACATCATTCGCGACGTCACAGGTCGGTGCCATGGCCCTTGTTGTGTATGTGTGTCGTGCGTGTGTGTGTGTGCGTGTGTCGTGTGTGTTATGTTTGTTGTGCATGACGTCACACCATCTGCCTGCATACATGTGTGTGTGTGTTCGCGTGCCAGGTCTGACGGAGGGTGAGAGCGATGCATCGCCGAGCAAGTTCAACGATCGCGAGCGCCGGCGTGAGTTTGACTGCGTTCTGTTGAGCAAAACCCTCCGCAACCCAGACGCCCTCATCCGCTTCCAGGACAACTGCTTGCAGCTCGTCTGCCCACAGGTGAAGCACAAGGGTCTTGTGCACGCTTGCATGAAGACGTGTGTGAGTGCGCACATGTGCTCGCAGGTTTGTATCTTTGCTATTTATTCTGCTTAATTTATTCGAACCACTCCACTTTTGTCCTTCGTCTGCAACCCATCACGCCTGCATTCACTCCTCATCACTCTTGCACTCACCTCCAATGTCACTTGTTTGCCATCAGACCAAGATTGCACTGCATGAGTGGCGCTACACCCACCTCAAGAGCTTTGGCTACCTGCGCAACGTGAGTCGCGTTTGCGCGGTGTGTGTATTATGTGCGTGTATTATGTGCGTGCGTTTATTGTGTGCGTATTGTGTGTGCACTCGCGTGCGCGTCATCGCCAACACAATTTGTGCACCGTCGTGACGTCATCACGTCACGCAACGTGATATCATGCAATGTGTGACCCAACTCCCTCCACATGAGCGCACGTCCCTCAACCACAATTCCACTCCCGCCATTCACACCGCCACCCCGTAGGTTGCGTGGTTTGAGGCTGGGCCCGCCTGTCCTACGGGGTCTGGTATGCTCTGCGTGTCCACCCCAGACGCGCACATGCTCTTTGAGACGTTCAACTATCTTGCGCCGCGATCCGTTGGCGGAAATGTCAAGCGCCGCTCAAGCAGGCGGTGCGTGCGTGTGTGTGTGTGCGTGTGTTTGTAAGGCTTTGTATGGGTTTGTTTTCGTGTGTCTGCCCTCTTCCGCGTGCGTTCATACTATGATGGCCGCCAAACTGAAAACCCCTGCAACTTAACAACACCTCCCCCCCCCCCCAAAATCGCCATCACCATCACCAGACACGACATGAGCTGGGCGTCGATGCGAACAGAGCGCAGTGAGGATGCATATGAGGTGATACCCGAGGATGTCATCTCGGAGGAACCAGCAACAGCACAGCAGCGCCAAAACCCCAAACCACAGGTGGGTACGCGTATTTGGGTGTACGAGTGGGCGGATGTGGAGCACAGAGACGTGCGCCTGTGTGTGTTTGTGCGTGTGTTTGTGCTCGGAGTGGGTGCCTGCGTGCTCGGAGTGGGTGCCTGCGTGCCTGGGTATGAAGCCGTCAATGGGAACAGGTGCTCGCACTTGCTCATGTGTTGTTTCTGCTGCAGACTGTGTTTGGCAAAACCCTTCCAGCAGAGGATCTGGAGCCTGTTGCTGTTGCCGTGCCACTGCGTGAGCACTTGGCCGAAGATCCAAAGGAGTTGTCCTTCCTGCCGGGCGAGACAATGCGCGTGCTTGCAAGCAAGGCTTTTGTTGACGAGGTGTGCGGTTTGTGCGTGTGTGTGCATGTGTGCATGTGTGTCTGTGCGCGTGCGTGTGTGCCTGTGCGTGTGTGCGTGCGTGCAGTGTATGTATGTATGTACGATGTGTGGATTACACGTTCTTGTCTTTGGGTTTCCTCATCATGGTTCTTTGTGCACACAAAACGCCTTGCACACGTTCGCGTGAACCGCCACAGGGGTACTTGCTTGGCCAGAAAGCGCGACAGACCCAGCTTGGTCTCATTCCAATTGCATGTGTGGAAGTGCACGAGCATGAGTTTGGATACATGCGCGACGCTGATGACGACGACAAGTCCGTGGTACGTGTACACAACACCAGTTCTGCACCACTGACCGGCATGTGAGAGAGAGTGTGAAAGAGAGTGTGTATGTGTTCTTTTGTGGCCGGTTGTTTTCGATGCGTGCGTGCGTGCGTTTTTGTGCGCGTGTGTGTATTTATGTGTTTCGATGTTTGCTCCACACCACTCGTCTGACCAGTCTTACTTGTGTGTGTGTGTGTGTGTGTGTGTGTGTGTGTGTGTGTGTGTGTGTGTGTGTGTGTGTGTGTGTGTGTGTCACTCACTCACACTTTGTTTTCCTTTTTGTGCAGGACTCGCTGCTTGACGAGGCAAACGTGGATGACTTTGAATACCCGACCGGTTTTGGTGTTTACGGTGGAAAGTTTGAGGCAGACGGCACCTTTGAGGCACGGCATGGTGAGATGGTGGTCTGATGCTTCGTCATGCATTGCATGCAGCTCATGCGCGTGCTCCTCTCCCCACGATGCTGCAAATGCACACTGACACTCCTACACCCGATACCCACACTCGATATACCCCCCCACACGCACACACACACACACACACCTCCATGCACACATACTCAATCCACTCGCTTGCACAATCTCTCTCCACTGCAAACGCATGTATGCACATTTGCGCCAACCGCCTGCACAGCGCCTGAAGATGTCCCTGGTTTCCCGACAGCAGAATCCGCTGAAGGAACGTACGAAGTACCGCGTCCCCCTCGCTTCACGTTGCCTGCAGGCAAGTAGTCCTCGTGTGTGTGCGTGTGTGTGCGTGTGTGTGTGCTTGACAGTTCATGTGAGTGTACTTGCCGTGGGATGAAAAATATCCATCGTGTGCTCGTGTACCCCTACTTACCATCTGCTTGTGTTGCACGATCAACACCAGACCCTCGTCGCACATATGCCAACGAAAGGCACTGATGATGATACAGATGCGCGGCGTTGTGACGCTACATTTCATCCCTCTTCAGCTGGCACATGGTTGTGGCTTTGGTTACAGCATGTGTATGTGTGTGTGCATTTCTCCATGTGCATGTGTGTCTCGTGAGCCATAGTTCATGCGTTTACATCAACGGCCATTGGCTGCGTCTCATTGACATCTGTGCCAACATTACACGCACACAGATATGTTTCCGCTCGTTTTCACCATGTGCGTTCCGCTGCAGCCTTTTTCAGCGATTGCTGTATGTTAGCCTCTCTTCCACCGTGGTGCACGTGTACCTGCTGCATTGTTCGTAAGCTTAGCTCCGGCGCTTGTGTTGTGCTTTAACTGCATTTGTTCCCGCCCGCACCCACTCTGCAGCAACTTGCTTGTTGGGATTCAACATTGTTGAAAAAAAAAACATAGAGAACGCGTTGGGCTGGTTCCACATCGTAATGACACGTGAAGCACAGAGGGTTACCGAACGCGCAACACAGCGCTGGCTTGGGCATGTGGTGCAAGCAAACACAATGGCGAATCAAACGGCAAAGCAGGGAAGAAGGGAGCAAGCGGGTAACCGGCACCCGGCACGAAGCGTCCGCAGAACACCGAAGCAACGAACAGGTGTACCGTCATGTCATGCAACAACAGCGTGACTACAAGGTCAAATCACAGAAGAACACACGCGGAAGTATCACTTGGGGGACATGTGGCCAAGCGGAATAGAGACAACCAGCTGTAATGGAACTTCCTTTTCAGGGACTTGGATGCGGTTAAGCCATGCCGTCCGCATTGTACGCCTTTGCTGCTTGCATCAGCTTGATTGCTGGCCCAATCTTCACACCCGCCTCTTTGAGCAGGTGCTTTGTCAAATCTCCCTCAATCACCGCCTCCACCAGCACCTCCAGCGAGTCAATGCCGTGCTCCACAAGCGCCGATTCGACGTGCGGTAGCAGTGAGTGCTGCTGGAGCCACGCCGTTAGCGCAGGCTCCAACGGGGACGAAGGCAAGAATGAGGGCGATGGGGTTGCAGATAGGAGCGCAGCAGGAGACGAAATCGTGGTGGGCGACGAGGACTGCAGACACAACCCGACGAGACGAGGGCGAGGGGAATGAAACACTGTGAGCTCGAAGCAGGAGGAACAGGAGCAAGCTTGCAACCCTGCGAACAACCCAACAGCACACACACGCACACAGACAGATAGACAGACAGACAGACAGACAGACAGAGAGACAGACAGACAGAGAGACAGAGAGACAGACAGACAGACAGACAGACAGACAGACACCCACCCACACAGACCGACACCCACCCACACCCACCCACCCACACCCACACCCACCCACCCACACCCACACCCACCCCCCCCCACCCCACACACACACACACACACACACACACCACCACCACCACCACCACCACCACCACCCACCACCACCACCCCCCCCCCCCCCCACACACACACACACACACACACACACACACACCTGTGCCACGGAAGCGATTGGGCTTGTTGGCGTGACTGGCATTAGTGCAGGTATTGGCTGTGGTGTCTGATGCTGCAGTTGGGCCATGTGTTGGCCAGCTGCACTGCTGGCATTGCATGCCGCCACTGCCCTGCGCACGTGCTCTGCCATCCTCGCTGCATCGGCCGCTCGGTCATGCTCACTTTGGAACGACACGACGCCGTCCACGTCAAACAACGACAGAACCACTTCGCGCACGCTCTTGTGCTGCCGTGGTGGCGGCATGTGCAGCACGTGTGTGAAGTACTCGTCGAGCGCTGCTGCCGTCTTCTCGCTCACAACATCTGGCAGCTTCGTTGCCAGCCGCTTCATGCGGTCAAATGAGTCATACTCGCTCACTTCTGCCGCGCTCATGGCGTGGCTGCTGCTGTCGTGCCAGCCACTGCCAAGGAAGAGCGGAACAATGCGGCGAAGGCGGATCTTGTCTGATTGCTGGTGCACGAGCTGCTGCAGCTCCAACATCGCCATCCACTCCAGCAGCACGTTGTCGCACGCGTCATCGTAATCGAGCGAGCGCATCTGATGAATTGCCGCGACAGACACAACGGGGGAGGCAACAACGCTGTGCTGGATGGCCTGAATGCACGCGTGCTTGAAGTTAAGGCCCGTCTCCAAGTTGTTGGCATCCATGAACGCAACCAGCCCATGGTGCTCCAGCTTCGGGTGCAAGGCCAACGCCAGACCTCGATTGCCGCGTTGTCTGTGGCATGTTTGGGGGAGGGGATTTGCATGTAAGGATGTGTCGAGTGAGGGGCAAGCAGGGTGAAACAGACGATGAGCAGGCAGTTGACACACACACACATCCACACACACACATCCACACACACACACACACACACACACACACACACACACACACACACACACACACACACACACACACACACACACACACAGCACAAGCACAAGCACACACACACACCTGTAGCTGATGAATACGTCGTACTTGTCCTGCAGACCGAGAATGGGCAGGAGGGGGCCATACTTGGCGACCAGATCATCCGGTGGCAGCAAGTCTGAGCGGCCAACGCGAAGCACCCTCTTGTTCGTGTGGTGAAGCAGCACATCCTCAAAGAACAGCAATGTGCTCTCGTCGTATGGCACCAACAGCTTGGCCTTGAGGTCAGGATAACGCTGCTTGGCAGCCGCTGTGATGGTGTCGTACAGCATGTGCAGCAATGTGCGAGGGCGTGCATTCGTGATCTTCACCTTGATGCCACCAACATCCGGCACAAGCTGCAGCTCGATCTCAGCAGCATCCATGAAGATCACGGCGTCCGTGCGGCTCAACATGGGCGGCTCCGTTGCACCGTGCTGCATGTGTGCCATCACGCGTGCCAACACCATCGCGAACAGCCCCTCTGGCAGGAAGGAGGCTCGCTGGAGGTCTGCAAGCTGAGCACTCGTGCCCCTTTTCAACCCCTCCAAGCAGAAGGCGACGTACACCGTTTTCTCCTCATACCCAACATAACAGTTGATTTGCTTTGCTGCTGCCGTGCTCAGCGTGACTGATGACGCCTGTTCATCCTCCAAGGTCATCGGCAGGATTGCTGGGACGAGGTACTGTTGGTGGTGTTGTTGTTGCTGTTGGGGACCGGGGAGCAGCACCATTGGCGCCGTGTACTGGATACACAGCCCATACTCCATCATGAGGCGCAGGAACGGGTCAATCAAGTTGCTGTCCACGTCTCTCCACAGCACATCAAGTAAACGACGGTGCAGGATACCGCGGTCAACCAGGTCGTCCCACAGCTGCGCGCCAATGGCCCTCGCCTCGCCATCACGCACATCACGATGCAGGTCAAAGTTGCGGATGACGCGCGTCATCATGTCCACCGCCCACTGCGGACTCAGGATCACAAAGTCCTCCATGCCTGGCACGCTGTCGTAGTACAGCACCATGGAGTACAGGTGCAGGAACTGCAAACAGGCCCTCGTCTCCTGGCGTGTGCGCAGCCCACACGTGTGCGCAATCTGCACCACCTCGTCAAAGGTGAGCAGCAGTCGCTTCTCGTCGCGGGCGATGGCGTGGAGCTTGTCGTAGAGGTGGAGGTATGGCACAGCCACCTCCTGGCTCACGTACTCCTGCGCCAGTGCTGTGGAGGAGATAGTCTGGCGCAGGTCCTGGATCATGGGGTCATGGATGGACTTGGTGTTGTCGACGGGCCAGAGCCACAGATTGTGTTTGTAGTTGTACACAACGGAAGGGAAGGCCGGGTTGTGGCGCAGGCGACTGTGGATGTCACGGGATATGTTCTCGTGCTGCTTTCTCTGGCTGACCACATCAGCGAAGGTGCCGACGATGAGGACGGGTGCGCCCTTTGCATGGAGGTGGAGGGAGGAGAGCCAGTGCTCCATAAACTCCCACGATTCAGCCCGCTTGCTCTCGGCTTGGTGCAACAGGTCCTCCATTGAGAACACCAGCAGGTACACCGCGTACCTGGTGGGTGGGATGCGGGTGTATGGAAGGAAGGTGTGGGTGGGTGAGTGGGGTGAGGAGGGGCTAGGATGAGTGGAAGTAGGGTGAAGGGAAACATGTAAGCATACTGACACACACACACACACACACACACAGAGCACATACAAATACATCCCACTCACTTGGTGAGGAAGAAAGGGTGGAAGATGTAGAAGGTGGACTGGCCGCCCAGGTCAAAGATTTTGAACGTGACCCTGGCTTTGCCCTCGCCCATGACGGCGTCCACATTGAACTCCTTGATGGCCTTCTCAATGTCCTCCGCAGACATGCCGGGAGCAGCCGTGGTGACGAGTGCATGCTTGGAGCTTGAGGTGGTGAACGATGCCGCCTGTGCTTCATTTGATGGTGCTGGGACATTCGATCGCAGACCAGCCCGTGAAGGCAGTGGTGATGGCGGTGAGGACATGCTTGGGTCACCGCGCCCGTGAAGAAAAGGGTCAGGGTGCACCTCACTGTTGTCTGGGAGGCCACGTCTGCCCAGCCAGGCAGGCGCGTTTGGATGACCTTCGTCGCCGCCACCATGGCCGCTTTGCTCGTTGCTGAGCAGTCGTCGCTGTTTGCTCAGCTGTGGGACAGCACGATCTTCGTCCTCTTCATCATCATCGTCATCATCATCCTTCACCTGTTGCTGCTGCTTGAGCCGTTGTTGATGCTCCTTCATCGCTTTCTTCATGGTCACCTGCATGGATGCGTCCATGCCAGACATCCTTGCAAGGGCTGTGCTCAGCAACGAGCGCATGTACTCGCTGAGGTCGCTCCGAAGGTGCTGTTGTGATATGGCGGTATGCAAGTGTTCTGATGAGCCGAAGCGTGCTTCTTGCGAGCAAGCAGGACAGACAGACAGACAGACAGGCAGGCAGACACACACACACACACACACACACACACACACACACACACCCGCACACACCTGCCAGTTGAAAACCTCCATGGTTTCGACGCTCACGGACATGTCCATGCTGTCGGCACCAAGCGTGGAGTGCTCGTGCATGTTGAACTTCTTGCCCATGAGGGAGTTCAGAGTGGTGGTCTTGCCCGCACGCCCCTCACCAACCAGCATCAGCTTGGCACGCCCTGCCGTTTGTGCATCTGAGTTCTCTGCAATCTGGCGCATGGCCGCCATCACCTCCGCTTCACGCTGCTGCTGTTTCTGTTTCTGGTGACACGCAGAAACAGCAGGGAGGTGAGCGACAGTGATAAACACAACCACATACATGCACAAACCACACGCACACACAAAACCAGCAGAGGCGGCAAGCACATGACAGCACTGCCACGAACCTCGACGTCTTGAGCAGCACTCACGTCGCTACTGTCGTTGTTGTTGTCAATATCACCATTGTCATTGGGAGCATTACCGCCATTGTCAACTGGCTGCTGCTGCTGCTGCTGTTGTTGTGTTTCATCTTCTTCTTGTTGCCGTTCTTCCGCCTCTTGCTCTTGTCCTCCTTGTCCTTCTTCTTGTCCTTGTCCTTCTGCGCCCTGCTGTTGTTCCTGCTTCGGTTGCACTGTCTGTACCTGCGCTGGTTCGGGGTGTTGCGGCTCGCTTTGTTCATGCACTGCTGGCTGCTGTTCTTTTTCGTGTTGATTGGATGGCAGCAGGTCTGTTTCCACGCTTGACTTCGTCTGCTGCTGTTGCCCTCCCTCGTTTGACGAGTGGTCTTGCGGTTGCGGCAGAGACGCTGTGTCTGCGTGAGTGCCCGAAGGCTGCGGTTTGGCATCTGCCTGTGTCTGCACCGTCATCGTCGTCGTCTCCTCCTGATGCCCCTTTCCGGTTCGTGCCTCCCAGAAAGCCTTCCTCTCCTCCTCCGACAATCTGGTGAATGTCAGCAGAACACAAGGGCAGAGGATGGTCAGTATCATTTGCGGATGCACGATGCGGTGGGCGAGCGCGACTTCGCAGCCCGATCACCACCACCACCACCACCACCACCACCACCACCACCACCGCCGCCAGTACTCTTGCAACTCATTGCAGTGTAGCACATACACACGCGCAGCAGCTTACCCCTCGCACTCAATCTCTCGCTCGTCGGACAGCGCAGTGCCGAATGCACGCACAGCTTCGACGCTGTTCCCCCACATCCTGCATGGGAGCAACACCCCACGAACGGGGAGGGGTTGTGAAGTGAACTCGAAGGTACAGGAGTAAACCAGAAGCACATGCGGATAAATGTAGCGGGATTGTGATCATTTTCTTCGCCAAGAACGAGCGTACGTGATGTGAGTGAAGGACTTGTTCGCGTTCATTGCTTCTGCAAGGGCACGGCCGCCCGCAGCTCCGACGTGATTGCAGTTGATCCTGTCGGGAGAATCACGCGCATGAGTGTCAAGTGTGGGTGAGCGCATATGCAGAAGCTCCTGCGGTGCAAGGCATGATGTTCAGGCACAAAAGAGAGGCGGAACAGGCCACGGGGCAACTTACCGCGCCGAGCACAAGCTGGTGCTCGTTTGGATCGCACGGGCAAAGGCGACTGCGCCGTCGTCACCGATGTTGTTCTTGTACAGACTGTACACCAAGCAATCCCCGTCACCACACACACACACACACACACACACACACACACACACACACACACACACACACACACACACACACACACAGGTAGAAGCACAATGGCGAGAGTGAGGCTCAGAGAGTTGGTTGGTGGAACATGAGGGCAGTACAGCTTCTATGCATTGGGCGTGAGAGAGGAAGGAAGGGGAGCATTCGAGAGACAACATGGCTGGTATGTGTCATACCTGACCCATCGCAAGCGAGGGTGATTTGCGATGGCATCAGCGAGAGCAATGACGCCTGTGTCGCCCAAATGGGTGTTATCGAGGCTGTCGCACCCATGACGAGAGTGCAAGTTGGTGTTAGCACGAGAACGGGGTGTTGAGTGGATGTATGATGACAAACGAGCGTCCTCATGGGAGCGTGCACGCGTGCAAATGCACGATGGCAAACTCTCTCCCAAAACAAAGCCAAGCGAACATGTGGGGGTGAAGCATTGGCAGACAGGCCAGCGTCACTGACTCAAGGTTCACGATGCAGGTGTTTGCCTTTAGGGCTTGGGCCAATGCCTTTGCTTCTGGCTCGCCAAGGCGGACACCATCAAAGCTGATTCAAAGAGGGGGGGGGGTGTATGGGAGTGTCAGTGAGTGAGTGAGTGAGTGAGTGAGTGAGTGAGTGAGTGAGTGAGTGAGTGAGTGAGTGAGTGAGTGAGTGAGTGTGTGTGTGTGAGTGAGTGAGTGAGTGAGTGAGTGAGTGAGTGAGTGAGTGAGTGAGTGAGTGTGGCAACAACGAGCGAGCACGCACTGGTGTATAGAGCAGACAATCACGTGAAGCCATAAAGTAGCCCCTCAACGTTGGTGTCCAACTCACAAGACAGCAGCGTTGCAGGTGTTGGCAGAGATGGATCTGAGCTTGGACATGGTGGCTTCGTTCAAGTCGCTTTCGCTTAGGGCCTTCTCAAGATCTGCAATCTGCAGCCCAGCCAGATGCGCAGCAGTGCCAGGGTTGACGATGAGGGTGGTCACATAGGTGCAGCGTGTACGTCCGCGAATATGAAGCACGCGTGTGTTGAGGCCAGCCATATCATGTCACAACGAACAAGCAATGGGGTCTTACTTGCTGTTCCGGCCCTTCGGTCATCGTTTGGGCTCGCGCGTTTTTGTACGCATTCAGTTCTTCCGCAGCACTGCGATGCCAACGACATAGCGCAATGCCGCGTGAGCACGACCCGCAGCCCATCAATGTACCAGGCGTGACATGCACATACACATGCGCGCACAAATCCACAAAGTCTGCACACACACACTCACACGCGCACAAACCCACAAAGTCTGCACACAGGCACTCTCATGCACACACACACACACACACACTTACACACGCACACAATGAAAAGCAAACACAGGCGAGCGTACAACTCGATGACGACTTGACGGTTCGGTGGGAGTGCGCGACCAAAGGCAGCAGCCGTCTCCTTGCCGTTCCCTTGCAGACTGGTGGTGTTCCCAAACAACACGCACACACACATGAATGGGGGAGAGTATAGCAGATGAGCACGAAGAAGACACGCGCGCAGAGCGCGACAATGGCGGCATGATGCAGCACAGCAACCAGCGACACACCTCAGCTGTTGGAGGGTTTTGTTGGTGTGGAGCGCCAGGCCGAGAGTCCTGCCACCGTTTGCCGTGATTCTGTTCTCGTAGAGACTGCGTCCGCGCGGGAGCACGCCACACAATAGACGATCATGTGGCGGGAGGAGTGAGAACAAAGCAGACAAATTAGAGCCATGATGATGATGATGGTGATGATGATGATGATGATGACGATGATGAAGATGATGATGATGATGATGGAGGATGATGATGATGATGATGATGATGATGATGATGATGATGATGATGATGATGATGATGATGATGCTGATGGTGATGATGATGATGATGACGACGACTCATACAGCCAGGTAACTGATTACCGACACAGCTGGGTCGCAGGTGAGCAGTACCAGTGGCAAGGGTCATGTGCTTACAGGAGGTGACTCAAGGTCGAGTTGTCCTGAAGTGCACGTGCGAACGCTATGGCGCCTTTGTCCCCGATGCGGTTTCGATCCACACTGCATATGGGGGACAAGCAAAACGAACGGAGAAGTTCAGGATAGCATGTCAGAAAAAAAACATGGTTTCGGTTCCATGTACGTGTGCGTTTGTGTGATGTGAGTGAGTAAGTTAGTTGTGACGCGCGAGAGAATGACTGCAGTGGCATGTACGATTCAGGACAACCAGCACAGCAGGTAGCCTGGTCAGCGTGCTTGCAATTGCAGTACGTACAACATGACTTTGAGAGACGTGTTGGTTTTCATTGCATTCGCAAGCGCGTTCGCGCCAGGGCGGCTGATGTAGTTCGAGCCAAGCCTGTGAGTTGGCACACACACACACACACACACACACACACACACACACACACACACACACACACACACACACACACACACACACACACGTGTGATGCGGCATCATCGTGTGAGATAGGTGGAGTTCACACGCGGCTGTGGGATGCGAGCGCATGGCAAGTCCAGTGCAGAACGTGAGATGGACATACAAGATGCGCTCGAGGGTGTTGTTTTTCCTGAGTGCGCCTGCAATGGCCATGGCTCCCTCATCTTGGACGTTGGCGCTTTGAAGGCTGCAGTCGTGATGCGAATCCGGAGGGGCGGTTCAAAAAGCAAGCAGGGAACACACGCGTGAGCAAAATTTTCATCCACCCACGACCAAGTTTATCGCACACGCATACACACAACCATACACACACACACACACACACACATAAAGGCATGTGGTTTAGAGGCTCACCTGAGCCTGAGAAGCGACGTGTGGTGTTTGAGTGCAGCGGCGAGAATGGCAGCACCGGTTGGCCCGAGCCGCGTTCCATCCAACCTAATGACACACACACACACACACACACACACACACACACACACACACACACACACACACACACACACACACACCCAAATACACACACAGACAGACACACACACACATAAACGTGAGTAAGCGGGCAACCAACGACATGTTACGTTATGCCATGTGAACTTCCTTGTTGTGAGTGAGGTTGCTGCGGCAAGGACAAAGACTGTACCCCCAAACCACAACATCACGGCTGTTGGTGTGTCATGCCAGGAACATGAACTGCAATCACTCACTCAAGCTCTTGTAATCGGCCACTGTCCCTGAGTGCAAGGGCGAGAACGCGGGCGCCCTGTGTGTGGAGCGGCGTGTAATTCAGACTGGCAGTGGTGCCACCACAATTGTAAGTGCGAAAGGGGCGAACGAGTGAGGCCATGAAGTGTGGGCGAGGGATCAGATTGCAGAGATTGTGCAACAGGCAGCAGTGCTTGCTGTGAGGGAGCGCATGCAACTGTACTGATCACTTACTCAGCGGCGGCACAATTGTTCTTGGCAATGGCTTGAATGCTGCGTCTTGTCTTTGGCTTCAGGGATTGCTGCTTCAGCATGGCACCCAGGTTGTCCCACTGATGTCAGACAAGAGAGCACGTGAGCAAGCACGCAAAGGGCAGGGTCAGCATGTTGACAAGCCCATGAGCAAGATGGTAAGCTGGTAAATGTTTCCAGAGAGTTGTGGAATTCAAGACGGGATGGATGGACGCACGTTGAGGTGGTGCGTTCTCTTCTCTTCTCGGGCATCGTCGAGAGCATCCCGTTCATCATTGCTGAGACTGAAGGCGAACCACAAGCGTTTAGTTGGTGAGGCAGTGGGGCACAGAAAGTCAAAAAGCCAAGCATAGCAAGAAACACACACAGACACAGACACACACACAGACACACACACACACACACACACACACACGCAAAAGAGGGTGGATGGTGACCTGGATCACGTGTTGTTCTCAACTCACTCATTGCATTGCATCATGCGCTCGGGTGGCAGCGCGGCGCCAAATTCCCGGATGGCGTCGATGCTGTTGCCCCACAACCTGCACATGAGTACGAAGGCATGCGCAAGTGGTGAGGGTGAGAGCAAAGAGGAATCACAGCGCACACAAGACAAAAGGAACTTCGACAGTGCAAGGCGTAAACATGTGTGTGCATGCGTGTATGCGTGTGTGTGTGTGTGTGTGCATGCGTGTATGCGTGTGTGTGTGTGTGTGTGTGTGTGTGTGTGTGTTCGCAATTTGCCAAGCACGATCAGCAACGCACGTAATTTGGGTGAGTTTGCTGTTCTTCTCCATTGCCGTTCCCAGCGCGCGGCCGCCATCGGGCCCAATGTTGTTGCAGTTGAGCCTGCGGTGTGTGTGTGTGTGTGTGTGTGTGTGTGTGTGTGTGTGTGTGTGTGTGTGTGTGTGTGTGTGTGTGTGTGTGTGTGTGTGTGTGTGTGTGCGTGACATCGGGGGGTCAGGCACGTAGCAGCGTTATCGCAGGGAAGAGCGTCAGTTGTGCGTCTCCACAGCCCCACAGACACGTGGGCATGCAGACAGGTCGCTATACGGACCCTCGCACACTCACGCACACATACACAGACAGTTTAATGTGCAGATAGACACACGGCCACTCTCTCTCTCTCTCTCACACACACACACACACACACACAGCTGCACACACACACACACACACGCACACACAATCACACCTGATGACGTATAGAGAGTTGTTCTGCTGGAGCGCTGCTGCAAATGACCCGGCACCTTCATCGCCAATGTCGTTGTTGAACAAGCTTTGGTCGCAGAATGCCCAATAATGTTGGATGGATGCATTGGTCAGCACAATTGCGTACGTGAGCATGATCGTGAGCGTGTGCGAGTCAAGCAGTATGCGAGTTGGCGGCTGCTGCAAACGAGTTGGCATGACATAGCACCTGCAGCATGCTCATCGTACCTGAGCCACTGCAGGGACGTGTGGGTTGCGATGGCATCTGCAACCCTGGCAGCACCTTGGGGCCCCAAGGTATTGTTGTCCAAGCTGTCATTGAAGCCGCGTTGAGGAACCGAAGCGACACATGTCAGGTCATGTGTGCACGAGTCCACACGCAAACACACAATGACACACAAACATACACATACATGCACACAAATGCCACTTATACACACACATGCACACTCTTACACCCACACACACATACATACATACACACATTGACATGCACACACACACACACACACAAACACACACGTGCACACTAAGAAGGGGCAAAGTAGACAAGGGGGAGCTGAGAACACACGATGTCCCTTCTTCAAGTGGTGCAAGCCCACGTACTTAAGCCTTTCGAGGTTGGTGTTGACGGAGAGGGCCACGGCCAAGGCACCAGCGCCTGTGGGGCCAAGCGAAGCGCCCTCCAACCTGTGTTGGCAAAGTGTCGCGTGCAGGGTGCAGGCCGCGTGTGCAAAAAGACGCGTGTGAGCTGGCAGCGTTGGGGAAAGTCAAAGACAGAGCAACAGTGTGCTGCAGTGCACAGATCAACAGCCATGATAAGGAACGGGTGGATGCTTGAGCAGTTCGTTGGTTGTTCGCTTTGCGGGAGCACTCGTCCAGCGTCGGCTTACGAGATACGTGCAGCGCAGCTGCCGTTGGCTATTGCTTCGATGAGCTCCTTGTCCCGCTGTTTGAGGTGAGGAGCTTCCGCAAGCGCTTTTCGCACAGCATCTTCCTTCTCATCCTTCTCATCCTTTGCCAGAGACGTTGTTGGAGCGTGGGAGACTACTGGATGCTCCTTGGTCTCTCCCCCTTTGCTGCTTTTGTCGGTGGTCGACATGTTGTGCGCTCTGAGAGGGTGATTGGCGTGTGTTGTGTTGTGTCTTCGGCTGGCGCTGTCCTGCTTGCCGACAAATAACCAAAGTTTTCATACAATCGTCTACGACAAGCTTGCTGTGCCATGTATTGCCTGCTCGCTTCTTTTCGTCGTGCTTGCTTCATGCCTCATGCTTCTCCGTTCACATGGGTTCACTGCATGCTGTGAATGTGGTTTGTGTGTCACACGTCACACACGTGTCGCACGTCACACATGTGTCACACACGTGTCACCACACGTACGCAAACAACAAGTCAACAAGCTCACACGCAAGGGCAGTACAGCAGCAAGGCGGAAGAGAACAGGCCCTTCCCCAACCCTCACAACTTGAACAGCTCTCACAACAACACCACGAAAAGGGACAAGAGGGGTTGAGGTTGAGAAGGTGGTGGTGGTAGCGGTGATGGTGGTGGAAGGGCACAGGGCAAAAAGCGCGCGCGCGTGTGGAGACAGGCTCAGCTTGCTTCCTGCTGGTTGCCAATCTTTGCCTGGGCCTTGAGATCGGCCTCATCCGGCTGCACCTCCCTGATATCTGTCGCAAAGTACTCGCGAATGGCATCAAGCACCTGCATCTCGTTCCTGTTGTTGTTGTTGTTGTTGTTGTTGTTGTTGTTGTTGTTGTTGTTGTTGTTGTTGTTGTTGTTGTTGTTGTTGTTGTTGTTGTTGTTGTTGTTGTTGTTGTTGTTGAGGAGGACATGGGGTAAGTGGGTATGAGCACGCGAAGGTGGCAGCAGACAAAACAAAACAGCAGGGCTTTGGAAACAACAACAACCATGATCAGAGAAGCGCAGAGGTGGATGGAGAGAAGACGGGTGCCTCGACCACCAACACAAGAACACACACACACACACACACACACACACACACTCACTCACACACACGGACGCACAAAAACACGAACACACACACACACAAAAACACAGACACACAGACAGACGCACAGAGACACGAACACACACACACACACACACACACACACACACACACACACACTCACTCACTCACACAGACACAGACAGACAGACGCACACAGACACACACGCACACACCTGGTCTGGACGAAGGTGATTGCCGCGCCACCACCCCGGAAGCAGCCGAGGCGGCCAATGCGATGGGCGTACGTCTCGTAGCCGGGACCAGCATAGCCACCGCCATCGCCAAAGCGGATGGGCACATCAAAGTTGATGACGACGGAGATCTGGGGGATGTCAATGCCACGGGACAGCATATCTGTTGCGACGAGGAGGTTGTCGAGGCCGCTGAGGAAGCGGTCCAGCTGCGCAAGCTGCTCGCTCTTGGTGAGGTTGCTGCTGATGGTGCACACGCGGTGACCCTCCTCCCGCATGATGCGCGTCACCTCCTCCACAGCTCGCTTCGTGTTGCAGAACACAATCGCCTGAGGTTGTATGGTGATCATGGCGGTGGTCATGAGTGGGAGCAACAACACAACGCAGCAGTCCACGCAAGGGAATATGATGAGGCATGCAACATGCACAGCGTACGAGCCTACCAAAGAAAAACAAGAAACACAGGAAACGAACTGCCGAACAAAAGAGCCAACCAACCAAACGAACAAAGGGACAAACCAACGAACAAACAAAGCAGGCTATCACGCGCACGTGCACAGACACACACACAGACACACACACACACACACAGACACACACACAGACACACACACATACACACACAAGACCGCAGTGGGAACGAACCTGCTTGACGTCGAGGGACTCGTAGATGGCGAGGAGGGCGTCAATCTTGCGGTCGAAGCTCGGGGTGCTGATGTACAGCTGGTTGATGTCCTTCACCGTCACCTCCTGCCGCGGGATGGTGATGATGTTCGCGTTGGGCGCAACCTCGTGCGCGATGCCCATCACGTGGTCGGGGAAGGTGGCAGACAGCATAATCACCTGCACGTTGGGGGGCAGCATCCTGCAACAACAGAAGCAGTGGAACGGAAGAGTGAGGGGTGGGGGAGGGGGATTGATGGTGAGCAGAGCAAGATCGAAGGTGTGCGCGCTGCAGAAACACCGACGGGAACGCAAGCCAACATCAACTTGACATGGCGCAGAGAGAGACAGACAGACAAACACACAGACACACAGACACACAGGCACACAGACAGACAGACAGACAAACACACGTTTACACACGCACGCACACACACAAACACAATCGTACTTCTTGAGGGTCTTGAGGAGCTTGAAGTTTTCAGCGCTCTCCAGCATGGCATCGGCCTCGTCCACAACGAGGATGCGCACGTTCTTGGCGCTCACGTTGCGGTTGGTGCGCATGGAGCTGACCAGCTTCTTGATGGTGCAGCATAGCACCTGCTGCTTGGCAAGCCCGCGCTCGTCAGCAACGTTGCCGACTTGCTGCGTGGCGTCGGCGTCGCGAGAGCTGAACAGCAGGCCAACCTCGACACCCGTGTATTGGGCAAGCGCCTCAATCACCTGCGACGTCTGGAAGCACAGTTGGAACGTTGGCGACACGTACAGGGCCTGCATGCAAGGTTGAGCATGATGCGCGGATGTATGTGAGTGCATACGTGTATGGTGGAAAATGATGCTTGAATATGTGCGTGAGGGGGAAAGGCATGCTATGGGTAAGCAAGGAAGGAAGCAAGGGAAGGAAGAAAGGGAGCAAGCAGGCAAAGCAAGCAAGGAAGGAAGGAAGGAAGGAAGGAAGGAAGGAAGGAAGGAAGGAAGGAAGGAAGGAAGGCAGCGAGTTGGCATTCTGCGGCTTTGCGCACCTGGGTGAATTTTTTGGTGGGGTCCACACGCGTGAGCACGTTCATGGTGAACGCGGCAGTCTTGCCGGTACCGGGCTGAGACTGGAACACAAGGTTCTCTGGCCTGTAGCATTTGAATGGCCACGGACAAGCACGGTGAGTGGCACTTGACACAACAAGCACATGTACTAGCAATACGACGTGGTGGGGGACGGAGCGAGATCACAGGGCACGGCGTAGCGTTCGCACAGGGAGAGGCGCAACGTACGGGTTCTTCAGGAGAAGGGGAAGGGCGGTGGACTGGATCTTGGAGGGCTTCTTGTACTGCATGGCACGGGCCGCCTTGAGCACGTTGGGGTTGCTGCGATGACGGCAATGGATGAGAAGAGATGATTAACACAAACGCGTCAGCAAAGCACGAGAGCAAACGAACGAGGCACACAAACCACAGGACTGCACACGCACACACACACACACATACACACGCACACACATGAATACATGCACGCAGACACACACACACACACACGCAGACACACGCAGACACACGCACACACACGCACACACACGAACACACACACACACATGCATCCAGTACATCCAGGGTTTACCCACATGGGAAGGGTGTTTGGTTGCTTGCCCACGTCCTCAAACTCCATGGCAGCATAGAGCGGGGAGGTGGAGTCGGCCTGCTGCACATGAACATTGGCCTGGGTGTCCACAAACTTCTTGGTCAGGGACTGGAAGGCAGACTGCAGCTCCGTCTTGGACTTGAAGGATTCCACAAGGGCCTCCTCTTCCTCTGCATTGTCAGTTCCCGCTGCAGTCGGCGGTGCCGAAGCCTGCGTTGTCGACGCTTCAGCGTTGTTGGTACTGGTGGCCTCATCATCGTCCACTGCAACAACAGCAGCGACCTGCGGTTGCTGCTCTGCTGGCTGCTGCTCTGCTGGCTGCTGCTCTGCTGGCTGCTGCTCGTTGGAGGAGGAAGAGGGTGCTGGAATGGCGTCACTCCACTTGGCGCCCTCAACATCGACGTCCTCAAACTCGCTCATCGTGGCTGTCTGTTCGTGTGTGCGTGTGCGTGTATGTGTGGATGTGTCTGTGGATGTGTGGAAGACAGCAGAGGCAGATCGCTCGGACGCTCGCACGTTGGTTGCGGCTGGCTGCTGGGTGGCGGTTGTGGGAGGAGGAGAGAGAATGTCGCACACGACACCACAAAATTATTACAACTTTGTCGGCTCGCGCCCTTGTCCTCACCCACGACGGCAGGCTGCTTCTGCGTTCCTTTATGTTACAGCGGGCAACAAAGCTGTCTAACAACGACGAACAAGCGGCAACAACATCATCCACCAATCGCATGCATGACGTGACAGCATGCATTGCAGCACAGTTGCGCGTTGCGCGCGTGTGCTACACATCGCTTGACGATGCCGTTGCCTTGTGCACTGTTTTGTGGCGCGTGGAAAACCGCTTCCCAGTCTTGGGGCACACGTACGGATCTGACCCGCACCCGAGGCACGTGATGATGGCATTGGGGTACCTGGTGGTGATGATGGTGATGGTGGCGATGGTGGTGATGATGGTGATGATAATGGTGGGATAAGGAGCAGGCAAAAGCCGTAGCAGCGAGTGAGCAGAGGAAGCAAGTTGTGGTGGGATTTTGGAAAGTGGAGAGATGATGATGATGATGATGATGATGATGATGATGATGATGAGAACGGCCAGCAACCACACGACGGCAGAGAACACAAGCACACATCAGAGACAGGCAGACATACATTGACACACAGACACACACACAAACACGCGCACTCATAAACACAATCATACACACACACACGCACGCACACAGACCTGACAAAGGGGCCAACTTGTCCGTTTGGTGCGAGATCGCGTCCGCAGACCATGCACTTTGCATGCTCCTCATCCATGACAACGCGCTGCTGATGCAACATCATGCGCTCCTTGTGCAGTTGCGTGTTCTCGCTGCGCGCCAGCCCTTTCGTCAGCTGTGTCGTGCGCAGGTAGTGCACGTCCGAGCGAATGGCCTGGCGCAGGAAGTTGCCGACAACGGAGAGGGACCAGTGGTCTGGGATGATCTTCAGCACATCCACAACATTGAGGTCGGACAGGTCGCTGTTGAGCATCTTCACGGCCTCAGCCGTCATCGGGTGCTTCCCTTCGCTCGGGTGCAGATACACCTGGTGTCACCATGCAGAGGAGCGGTGGTGAGTGAGTGGGGTGAGTGGGCGAATGTGTGTGTGTGAGTGAGTGAGTGAGTAAATACGTGAGTGAATGTGTGTGTGTGAGTGAGTAAATACATGAGTGAATGAGTGAGTGAGTGAGTAAATACGTGAGTGAATGTGTGTGAGTGAGTGTGTGAGTGAGTAAATAAATGGGTGAATGTGTGTGTGTGTGTGCGTGTGTGTGAGGGCAACTGAAGCTTCACCTGCAGGAGAAGGCGGAAGAGGTACTGTCGCATCTTGCGATCACCCTCCGTGGTTTCATTGCAGTATTCCTCCGCCAACCTATCACAATGAGTTGGGTTTGTAGGTTTAAGGAAGAGCAAGAAACACATGTGTGCAGCAGAGATGACCTACGCACGAGTCACACACACACACACACACACACACACACACACACACACACACACACACACACACACACACAAGCAAACCACCAACGCCTGGCCTCTCCCGTCCCTCTCACCTGTGGTCCTCCACGTCGTACACCAGCAGCCTGAGTGCCTTCTCGTGCTGGCCGGCGCGCCCGTACACAATCGCACGCTCGGCATGGAAGTCCGTGTCGTCGAGGAACCGATTCAACTTGTCCACGTCGTACCGCTTGGAGGACTTGAGCACGCGCTGGAAGCGGTGGCGCAGTGACGCTGAACACATCGTAGTGGTGATGGTGGTGATGATTGAGCACGCGTGGTGATGAAAGGATAACATTGGTATGTGTGTGTATGTATGTGTATGTATGTGTGTGTATGTGTGTGTGTGTGTGTGTGTGTGTGGCATGTGGTTGGGCGTTTGTTTGGTGCACACACATGACAAGGATCAACAACCATGCACGCACACTCTTGGCATCGTGCAACCTACCTAGCTTTTCTTCATCCACTGGAACATTGACGCGCCGCTTGTTGTCATTCTGCACACACAGACACACACACAGACACACACACGCACGCACACAGACAGACAGACACACAGACACACACGCACACAGACAGACAGACACAGACAGACAGACACAAGCAGACATATGTTGAGGTGATGGGTCGTGCACATCACAGGAAAGCGCCGTGGCATGGCGAGTTGGCAATTACAGGGATGCGGAGGAGCATTGCAAATGGCACGCGGTGGTCGCACCTCAAGGCGCGTGCGCTTTACGGCGTCCAGCAGCATCATTGCCAGCGTCGTGTGGTAGTGCTCGTCCTCAGACTAAGCCAAAGGGAGAGAGGTGGTGGAAAGCGAGGGCACACACGCACCGACACAGATACATACACAGGTACAGGAAAAGACAGAGAGACACGCATACACACACACGCACATGATCAGCATTCCTCCGTGTGGCCAGCCATTCAACTTATTCAACATGTCAGGAGCGAACCAGCACACCGCCGTTCAATCTGCGGGAAGACAGAAGGTGCACACCACACCTTCATGGTGAGCACGAGGTACTCGAGGTAGATCATCTTGGCCGTGTGGAAGTCAGCCAGGCGGTCAAGCACAGCCGGCGGCGGGAACAGGTGCTGGTTCTCCGTGTTGGACTTGGCCGTGAAGATGTGCACACACGCCTGGCATCGGTGGTGGTGGGAAGGTTAGCCTTGGGAATGCATGGGAGGGCAACCGAAATACAGTTGATGACAGTGGATACACCATCGGCAAGAAACAAGCAAAGGTTTGTCCGCTGCCAGGAAACCGCCATCACCATCACAGCAACAGCCCCCGCAACAACGACCATCACCACCACCACCATCATCAAACAATTGCACGCAAACAATTGCGCGCACCTCTGGGGCGATAGGGAGGATCCAGTCGATGTTGCGGAATACGAGGTCGCGGACCTGGGTCGGATTGGAGGCGTCCATATTGCTCAGCACGTCAATCACATACTCCACGCTGGCGTGCAGAGAGGGGAGAAAGGGGGTGGAGGAGGGGGTAGCAGGTCGACCAGAGTGTTGGGACACCGTGAGTGAGCTTGTGTGTGTGTGTGTGTGGGGGGGGGGGAGAAAGGAGAGATGAAAATGGCAAGAATGGACGGCACGACAGCGACACAAAAATGGATGCAGCTCATAATCATGTATGTGTGTGTGTGTGTGTGTGTGTGTGTGTGTGTGTGTGTGTGTGTGTGTGTGTGTGGTCATTACCCAGGATAGTCTGGATCCACTTGTGTCGCGTCCTCTTGTAAACTGCAAGCAATAAGGAATAGCAGTGCCGTGCAGGGTGACGTGAGAAGCAGGTGGAAGCAAAAGTAAGACACACAGAGTGTACCACTGCATTGGCGCACAAGCGTCCTCCCGCCCATGCAGGACTACACAGGACCACACAGGACCACACAGGACCACCCACCTTCTCCAAATCTCAAGTGCTTTTCGGTACTGCCCGGCCTGCGCATGCAGACACGCCAGCGCCTGTGCAGGAAACAACAAACATCAGACAAGTGCAAAACGATGCGGAGATGTTTGCTTGCGTCATGACGCGAATGCAACCAGGAATGGTGCGAAGAAGGAGCTTGACGAAAGGAGTTCACAACAACAACAACAACAACAACAACAACAACAACAACAACAACAACAACAACAACTTAAACAACAACAACAACAACAACAACTTAAACAAATGTATCGCAATACCCCGGTTTACAGCACACACGCACATGCACACATGCACACATGCACATATGCACACGTACGAAGAAAAGCAAGACTCACGTGAAGTTTCTTCTTTGAAGCGAGAAACGACGCGCACTGCTCAATGTTGCACTGCGTGTCTTCGCGGGCGACAAATGCGTTCAGAGACTCGCCCTCGTACATCGCGTAGATGATCACCAGCGCCGTGTCAACTGTCACGAGGTCATTCCTGCACACCCCATGGGCAGTGTACGCCGAGGTGGTGAGCGCAATGCTCGGGATAAGGTTGGCTCAGTTGGTTGAGTTGGCTTCGCAGGGCAAGATGCGCATGCACGCAACAAACCGTGTCACGCCGACAGTAATCACATCAATCAACACCAGCAACACTGGCATCGGTAGCAGCACCAGACCTTGTGAGTTTTGACCTGACGGCCTCCATGTATCTGGCGAGGGAGATGTACGCCTGTGCACGCTGCTCATCAGACTCAACTGCAAGTCAGCACACAGGGAGGCAATCAGGCCAGTTGTGAGGGCATGATGTGCATTGATTGTGATGGTGAAGAAAAGAAGGGGGGTTGCGAGCGGATAAATACGCGCAAATGCAAGAGCGGCCGCCATATGTGTGTGTGTGTGCTGACCAATGTCGTCGATGGAGGAGAATGGGGCGGAGGCCGAGATGCGCGTCTGTTTCACTTTGAGCGCTCCCGTCGACAGCAGCGGGAACAGCGGCAGCAACTGGCCATGGCAATGACAAAGGATGATGATGATGATGATGATGATGATGATGATGATGATGATGATGATGATGATGATGATGACGATGATGATGATGATGATGATGATGTTGTTGTTGTTGTTGGTGGTGGTGGTGGTGAGTGTCAACGATGACCCAGCAACAAACACACGATCTCTTACAAGCACACGTGCATCGTCATGGTGCAAGTGGTGTCGTACCGCGCCTGGAGGGGTGAGCGCCTTCTGCAAGAGCTCAAACCCCCGCTTGAAGTTTCGTTGTCCCAGCAGCGCCAAACCAGCATCGCGCCGCAACCGCCGCCGCTTCTGCACACGCAGAAGGTACAGACGTACGCGCCATGGAAAACATGGTCAGGATTGCGTGGTTTGAGATGAGAACAGCGCAAGGCATGTGTGCTAGCAGATGGGGCGAAGCATAGGGGGGGGGGGGGTTCACGCACTTTCTTGATTTCGTCGGCCTCGTTGGCATCATCCACTTCCTCAAGCTCTTTCGAAATCGTCGCCTGGTGCACACACACACACACACACACACACACACACACACACACACACACACACACACACACACACACACACACACA